TCACTGGGAATTCATTTTAACGTTAATTAATGTTGATCTGGTAAAAAGGCAGCAAATATTGTTTTATATGTCATACCAATAAACTGTAACAATAAGTCTTTTTATAATTATTGCATTAGGAACTAGTGTAATGGATCTATTTCAATTTCTTTGAAATTAATCTTGTTTAATATTTAAAATTTCTGAATAACAATACATTTTGATCAGCTTCTAGCTGAACTCAGTCTCTAGCACCTATTTTCTATTTTGTTCAGAGACTTAGACCTCCAAACTAGTTATATCTACTTTAAAAAAATATTTGCCTATCTAAAATGAAACACCAATTCGTCAAGTGTACAGTCTCATTTAGGAAAGTCTTTAGAATCACTCATAGATTGGCCCTTTTTACGTGGTAACTGTAATGTGATGGGCTGAACATCTTGGACTTTCCTAGATCCCTGATTCGAACTACGAAAAGTGATCTTTAGATTGGGCACATGCTGCTCAGCTGTCCAATCGAAATTAAAAATTTGTGTTTCTGAATGTAGTTCGGAATCCGGAGTATCAACTGGAGTGGTTGGTGTTGCAACATGTGGGCTAAGATCTTGATGGACAACGTCAGGTACCCTTTGTAAAGTATCCGACCACACTGGACTTGAATTCCAATGTTCCATGGTCAGTTCAGAAGGATCACCTGTTGATCCAGCGATTGTTACTACCGGTAATGCCTTACCTTGAAGTCTTTTGTGAGATATATTTCTCTCATTACAACAATAGTCCTTATCTAAGTCTGTGATATAATATTTGGGAGATGACAATGCATCCATATTATATTGACCATGGCATTGGATAAATTTCGCACGGTAACCACTTAAATTTTTGTGGTGTGCTTTGTACCTATCTGTAAATTGACCAAGCGCATAATGACCATGTGGTATATTCACATGTATATTTCTGTTTTCATGTTCACTACTGCTTATCGACATGTCCACAGGTTCTGCGTCTTCACGTGTGTTTCTTGTTGTGTAGTCTTCGAGCTGCGTTTTCGTAGATCCATGTAGATCTTGCTCTGAATTTCGAATAGTAGGAGAATGCTGAGCATCATTATTGTGAGTGTGAGGTAATGATCGAGTATAGTCTTGCTGTTGATTATTTTGGCTACCAACAGTATATGGCGTACTACGATTCTGATTTGCAGAACAGATAGTGTAGGTGAACTTAGTTTGAGAAGAATACTGATACAACCATGAGCTTGAACGCATAACTTCTGCTTCCCTATCACTGAAATATTATGTTTCATTAATTATGTTTTCTTGAATACTATAAAATTGTTTTCTCTAGAAATACTTTAATTGTAAAAATAAAGATTATCAATTTTTAATCATATTTATGTTATAGGAATATACCTTAAAACTTGATTTGTACAGACAATAATAGGATGTTGACACTCTTCGGATGTATCCTTGACTTGAAGAACGCAATGCACCCAAAACCATCGCCCGGAACGGCTCTGTAATCTTAATAATGCAGTTGCAGACCGTTCTTGATCAGACTGAATTACTGAAACAACCATTAATGATTGCAAGACTTATGACTTCATATTAATATATTAATTCTTTTAAATTAGCATTCTAAAATAACATACCAGTTTGATGCTTGCAGTATGCTGTTCGTATAGAATCCCAATGTAGCAAATTGTACCAGGACACGTTTACTAATTCATTACGACTATATTCTAAATGGCTTTCTGCACTAAAAAGCAATAAGTATTCTTAGCAAGAAGATATTTCATATTGTTATTAATTCTTTTTACAGAAGGATATTACGTTTTATCAATATGCAGATATTTCATATCCATAGAGTGGATTGTAGTGAAAATATTTGTTGCACCCTGAACAATACTTTCTCTGGTTTCCGGTAAAACAACAGGCGTACATGAAGCAAGGAAAACAAACTCATTTCGATTGCAGACAGGAACAAAAGGTAAGAAATGACCTTCAACAAGCACTACCTATAAAAATAACAATAAAACAACGCAGGCGAAAGTAACGATTACTAAAATAATTTGATAAAATAAATATATTGTATGACGAAAACATATATATTAATTAAAATATAACACACAAAACATCAGCGTAAACAAAAATCTGTCAGCAAGAGATAGTCTTTTTAATTTTGATAACATAGAGTAATAGTGAAAGAGAGTATTTATACTTAAAAACTACCTTTTGATCACCAAAACGTAGTTGCCTTCGAGAATTTCTGGATACATTAATTCGACAGAGGAACAATCTTCTATCACTTGGAATTGGACTATTTCTAGATAATTGATTTTGTACAACTATATGATCCTGCTTGTCTATAACATCATAAACACTATCTCCGTGGATAAGCAAGTCCTCCTGAAATGCATTGTTTAATATAGAGTATTATGCTGTAAAACATACAAATATTAAAGAAAGATTTCAAATTCTTGTGCCAATCTGTAGCATAAATTGTTATTACAATCAATTACCATAAATACTGTTTCTTTACAACTACTTTACCATAGAATGCCCAAGATATTCCGCTGCATTTTCTGATATATATAATAGTTTTCCTTGCTGGGTCATCATCATTATAAATCCGGACATGGCCTGAAAAATTGCATGCATTGTATGGCCAACATTTGTACCGTAGTAATTGACGGTCAATAATACAATGCGATATGATGATAAACAATATTACTTTTGAAAATCCTATGTTAGGAGTCGGGATATTCGAAGAATCGGATGGACAGTTTTTCAAGGCTGAAACAAAAAATTGTAGTTATATTAATTTAAATGAAATTCATGAATTCATAAATTAAATTATTCATAACATTTGCTGACGATTGTAATGTTTGTTATTAACAGTTTAATTAAAATTTTATTTTAGAAAATAAACAGTTACTCTGTTATCAAATATCATTACAAATTTTCTCATTTTTATTACATATATTATAAGAATGTAAAAAGTTTTCTGTATCGAAATATCGAAACAAATTCTATTGTTAAATTAAAATCGATTTTATACGTAAATATGAAATTATATTATATGTAATATAATAATATTATACGTAATATAAACGTATAATAATAATATACGTAAATTTATATATAAATATAAAAATAATATTGATAATATTATATGTAGTTATATGTATGTATATGTATAGTTATATCATTATTGCGAGTTTTATTATCCATAAACATCTGTAATCAGAAATTCCCTCGATAAGTCTTTT